GACAATTCTATGTCCATGATCAGGGCGCGTAGCCAAGTTATTCAATAAAAGATAAGCACCTTTTAAACACTTTTCAAGCACTCAAAAAATATTTTTAAGCACTTTAAAAAAATATCATAATTAGTCAGGGTTGGCACGTTTTTGACAATTGATTGTTTTATCCAGTTTTATTTGCTTGCCAGTGACGAAGACGATGGCGCGTCACCAACAATGAAATGAAGAAGAGAAAAAAGAATTCTATTACTATAAGAGAAAAAACATTTACAATGTTTAGTCAGTCCTTGAAATCGGAAAATTTTTCGGTATTAAATGTTTGACTTAAATTAGATTTTATAATGTAATGTAAATTAGAAAATAACATTAAATTTTTAAATTTTTTTTGTTAAAGATGTAAAAGAAACAATAATAAATTGGACAAAAAAGTTACTCACACATTTGATAATTTTTGTAATAATTTGGTAAATAAAGTGTTAAGTTCGGGGAAAGTTATATACAACAAATACGGCATGCAACAACTAATTCGCTAGTACGACAAATTCTCAAGTTACTAATCAAATTTTGTCATTGAAGATCTCAAAAGCATTTAATATAACAATTTACAAATTTCTATCTTACCACTGTTGAAATTCGTAAGCCCAACAAACAATTTCGGCTCTACCTTCATCGATTAAAAGGAAACGGCTGAAACAAACTTTCGTCAAACATTATTCTTCTTTGTCTTTGAACATCATCAGCAAAAAAATTTCATTTAATTTATTAATCCATTAAAATTATGACTAAAACAAATTTTCGCAAACTTTCCCCTCCCATAAACCACAGATTTGTTGGCAAATTTTAATTTTTAGCTTTCGTTTTGCCTAGTAAGCAAAATGTTTCATCCTAAGTAGTTACTCTACAGGAAATCATAGTTCCACGTTGGTTTGATAAAATTTATTGTCTAAAAATTTTTTTGTCTTTCAGATTTTGCACATTTGCTTCTGCCACGGTATTTGAATAGCTATAGACGAGTACTGTTCCGAATTTTTTTTTGTGTCTCAAGTTCACGGAGTTTATTGAAACTCTCTTTAGCACGTATTGAAAACTACAAATTTGAAGTGTGCCTTCAAACGCCAAATTTTTTTTAGAAAATATTTAGAGCTGGTAGCTTAGCAAAAATTTGCATTAATTCTTCTACCAATACAAAAAAAGTCATAACTTTTTATACCCAGGGAACACTAGTCAGAATTCTATTTCCAAATGTTAGCTCAATGTAGTAGTAATTCGTGACCCAACAAAAAAATAATCATAAGAAAACGTTGGGTGTTAGCCAAAGAAACATTTTTGTTAGGTCAAAACAGGTTTTAGTTAACTTTCAATCTAGTAGCCGCACAATAGAATTTTGAAACCAGACGTTAGTCGATTATACAAAAATGCCAATAGGCCACGTGAGTTCAACAAACATTTTCGTTAACCAATAATTAAAAAAAAATTTTAAAAAAAAATGCCAAATGAAAAATTTTCTCTTTTTTTTCTCCACCTAAATATAAAAATCACAAAATTGGGTTTTGTCCTAAAATGTAAGCCAGTTGCAAGAAACTGTTACCCCAAAACTACCAATCAAAAGATCACAGAAATCGCAACTTAAAAATTTTCCTTAAAACGTTAGCTCATTGTTAGAAGTCAGTCAATGATAAACAGGTTCCGATTTACCAGGGTTATAATATTACCAGGTTTATGTTTTAGAAACTGCAAGTTTGACCTTCGCTTTTATACGTTAACCCATAGTAGGAAATTGTTGGGCAAACCAAAAATTTTTGTTAGTAAATCAATTTATCGAAAAATATGGCCAAAGTCTGTGTTAACCATAAACAAGTTTGAATTTTATCATAAAAAGTTACTTCGTTGCAGAAAATTGCAAGCACAGAAAAATTTGGCGATTTGTTAATGAGGATGATGTTGTAGAAACATTCAGTAAATTTAATAATCTTGACCGCTTAATCAAAGCTTAGGAATCAATTTAACGATCATATATCTAATAAAGTCAGTAAATATTATGAATTGTGATCATTATTGACAATGAGCAGTTGAGCGACGTAGTAGTTGATGTCTCTGCTTAAACGTATTGTTTGAGTATAAGTACTGTAATTAGTTCAGAATATGTTAGTAAAACAACATTTGCTTAGTTATTCGTCTGTGACAGAATTTTTCTGCAACAATGTAAAATATAAAAAATAATNCGGCTCATATGCATAGATCCATGATTCGTCACCTGTGTAGATGTTATACACAGCCTTTGATGTACCTTGAACGTATTTTTCCACCATTTCCTCGTACTAATCGACACGAGCCTTTTTTTGAGCGTTTGTCAGATTATGCGCGATCTAACGGATTAGGTTCAAAATTACAAGACTACGGAGTTGAACATTAGTAGTCGTAGACCTTAAAATTGGGTCAGCTGTTCAACGACGGTTATAAAATGAAATAAGATTCAGATTCCTGGCCTTCAATGTATGGGGGAAGGCAGTTGGGAAAATATGCAGTTGGCAATTTGGAAAATATGGTCCCGATAATTAGGTCAGGACAGTCGTCGAAAGTTTGGTACCCTTAATGTCAATTTTTCTCTTTGCTTATTTCACGATATCTCCCGAATATTTTAAGGGAATCTAAAAATGTTTGCAAGTGCATATAAAATTCGCTGATTCAAGGATAACCATGTAAAAAATTTATTTTAAGGATTATTTATCATTATTTTACAATTAACAGTTAAAAAAATATTTGAATTGTAAGTTATACAAATTTTTACTTCAATTTTAATGAAATCAGTCAAATTCCTTATGAGATATCAATTTTTTTTTAAAAAGTCGTATATTTAAAGTTTTGCTTATCAAGAACTATACTACCGATTTCGTCCAAATGTTATATTTTTTCACTAAAAATTAACTGCTTTAAGAAGATGTTAAAATTCGTATAGAAATTTATTTTCGTATATAATTAAGAAATCGTAGATTTCGTAAATAATTTAAAAGAAATAATTAAAAAAATAAATAATTATAAAAAATATTTTTTGTATGGAATTATGTTTGAATAATAGGTGTGTGCAAAAAGTTTTCGATTAGCTCTCAAAATACGCACTAAGTAAAGTAAAGCATTAAGAAGTATATTTTGTCTAAAATAAGAACTCCCCCAGGCATTCGTCTGGACCTGTGGCGGTGACTATGGTAACGAGGTATGACTATTTCCAAAAGGGCTGCGGGGTCACTGTTTTGGAGTGGTTTCGGACGGTGCAAAACACCTACTGGGGTAATAGGTTTCCTACGGTCCCTACACGGAGAAGTAAGTAAATAATCAAAAAGATAAAAATGACTTAGAACCTATTTATACTATTGATTTGAGTTTATTACATATTATGATACCAGAGCCATGATGGCTCAGGGGATAAAGCGTTGGCCTTCCAAAGAGGTGAACCGGTTTCGAATCCAAGCAATGGCTGGTTGATACGAATTTTGCATCCGGCTTGCACCGACCACAGTGCTGACGCAAAATATCCTCAGTGGTAGGCGGATCATGGATGCGAGTCCCCTTGCTGTCAGGCCAACCGTGGGAGGTTTTCGTGTTTTCCTCTCCATGTGACGCAAATGCGAGTTAGTTCCATCAAAAATAGTCTTCCACAAAGACAAATTTCTCCCAATACTCGATCTAGGAATTTCTTTGTCTTCTGGAATGGGTTCAAAATTAGAAGGCTACTGAGTTGAACGTTAGTCGAAAAAACCAGAAAAATTGGGCCAGCTGTTCGACGACTGTTATAAAATAAAATATTATAATACCAATATATTACCATAACATGCACTTTATACATAAAGAACTATTAAAGTAAATAGTCGAACATATAAACATCATTAAATATTGAAATAACTAGTTTTATGTGCATTATTTGAAAAGTGTGGCGAAGTGGCGATACAGTTATTTAGAAGTAACAGTTTAAAA